AAAACCCTCGCCTCTCCCCCACCCCGTATCCAGGTAGCGCCCCGTGACCTTTGCCCCCTCCTTGACCCAAGGGGCCCAATTGACCCTGCTCCCTGTTCTCCCGCCTCAGAAAACACCATTCCTGAGCCCCCTCCCTCCCCACCTGCCGCATCAGCAGCTGCCGCTTCTGTCGGGGCCCTGTCACGAGCCCACGGCCTATCGCGACAGCAGCAGCCGGGACCCGGCGGAGCAACATGGCGGTGGTGGGGCCCACCCGGGGGAGCGGCCGCTTTAAGAGCTGGGCAGGGAGGGGCCTAAAGCGATAAAACTTAAAGGGGCAATGCCCTTAAAGGGGCAATGCCCTTAAAGGGGCAACGTCATGGAGGGGCCACAATTAGCGACTACGGTTATTAAAGGGGCAATGCCAGAAGTGCGACCTCCTTAAAGGGGCAACACGTAAACGAGGGCTCTCCTTAAAGGAGCAATGTCTGAAATTGGGGGGGTCTTCCTTAAAGGGGCAACACATGAAATGAGGGTTCTCCTTAAAGGAGCAATGTCTGAAATTGGGGGTCTTCCTTAAAGGGGCAACACATGAAATGAGGGCTCTCCTTAAAGGAGCAATGTCTGAAATTGCGGATCTTACTTAAAGGAGTAACATCTGGGCGGGGTCCTCGTTAAAGGGGCAACTTTTGATGGGGGACCTCTTTAAAAGGGCGACACTCTACTGACCCAACACCAGATTATTTTACCCAAAATCAGTTTAATTCCCCTTGGAATAGGGTGAGGGGGGGGTATAAAGCGGAGGAGGAGCTGCGACAACGTCACCCTGATGACATCACGCGCGGGGTCCGATGGTGAAGGGCGCGGCCGGCAGGGGGCGCTGCCGCTCCCCGCACAGCTCCAGCCAATGGGGGCGCACGAAGGTCAGCGAGGGGCGGAGCTCCAGTGCCTGAGGGTGGAGCCAAAGCTTAGGGGCAGGGCCAAGGGGAGAGGGCCCACCCCCACACGCAGTGGCCACACCCACCTCCTGGAAGGCCCCGCCCACCTCAACATCTCCCCAGGACCCACCTCCTCCAGGGCGGGGTCCCAGTCCTGGGCTGTCACCACGTGGGTCACCGAGTCATCCAGGGAGGGGGACAGAGTGCTGTGCGGAGCAGGGCGCACCAGTATGGACCAGTACAGACCAGTACTGACCCACACGGACCCCTATGAACTCCCCACTTCGGTACAAACCAGTATAACTCCAACAGACTCCCCCCATTCCCTCCCAGTAGCCCCTGAACCCCTCCCAGTGCCCCCCAGTGCCCCCCAGTCTGACCCTCCGAAGGCGATCACGAGCCGTCTCAGCCGCCGCCCCTCCCCCTCCGGGAACTCCCCGTGCAGGAAGAAGGTTTTGTCCTCAAAAAAGTCTGTGGGGGGAGAGGGGGGGGGTCAGAAATTGGGGGGTCCCGTGGGGGTGCCAGGGGTGGGGGGAAGGGCACCCACCGGGCAGGGGGGGGATGGGCTCCTCGGGCCCCTCCTCCTCCTCCTCCTCCTCGCTGTTCTCCTCGGTGGAGCCTCCATAGGGGTCGTCCCTGGGGTGGGGGAGGGGTCAGGTGGGCGTGGCAATTACGACCTCACCCCTCCCCCAGCGCCCCAAATAAACTCACTCCTCCGATTGGCTGTCACTGTCACTGGACTCAGGGGGCGTGGCCGGGGCTGTGGCGGGTGGGGGAGGAGCTGGAGGTGCCCCCGCCATCTTTTTTGCGTTGGGGGATGGGCGGGGCCGTGGAGGGGGTGGGGCATCCTCAGGCTCCTCCTCCTCCTCCTCCTCACTGCCCGAGGAGGCGGAGCCATCCAGGAGGTACCTGAGGGGGGAGGGACATGGAGGCCACGCCCACCATGGGTGTGTCCTCATTTTACCCCTCCCAAGCGTCCACAACCTCCCCCTGCCTTCCACCCCCCCCTTAACCCACCCTGTGTCCAAGTACCCAGGTGTGGGGGCATCCCCACCAGGTACAGGTGTGTCTCCAGGTGTACCCAGGTGTGTCCCCCCAGGTGTGTCCCTGTCCCCAGGTGTGTCCCCAGGTGTCCCCAGGTGTCCCTTACGGGCCGCAGGGCAGCCTCCTCTGCTCCCTCTGGCAGTCCCAGATCCAGTCGGGCCCCACCACGACCCCCCCGAGCTGCCGGGCCTGGGTGGCCTTGGGGGTCCTGGGGAAGGCGCACCTGTGTGAGGGAAGGGGCGGGGTCAGGGGGGTCACCTGGGCAGTGGGGGGGGGCTGGGGGAGGTCGGGGGGTCCCTTACACCAGGTGGGTGCTGTCGGGGGTCCAGTCGGGCCGGTACTGGGCCCCCAAGGCCACGGCGGCCGCGCGGATCTGGCCCCTCAGAGGGTTCTGGAACCCGCTCAGCACCAGCACCACCCCCCCCAGCACGGGACCCCCGGGGCTCTGGGGGGGGCCAGGGGGGGCCTGGGGGGTCCCTGAGGCCCGGGGGGACCGGGGGGGCTTGGGCTGTTTGTGGGGGGTGGTGCCGTTGGTGCTGGGAGGGGGGCGGCGCTTGGGGGGCTGCGGGAGAGAAAGGGGGGTGCGTTAGGGGGGGGGCTGGAGGGGTTTGGGGGTCCCCCTGTATTTGGGGGCCCCCTCAGGGGGGTTTGGGTGGT